AGTCATCAAGTCAGAGGATCGAACCATAATCTTGGGAAGAGGCACGGCCAACCGGACAACGGGACAACAGGAAACTGGACTGGACAACTATTCGAACATCTATATACAAAGTATATAATGATAAGATTGTATAGCATCATTCATTCACAATCATTCTAGTAGTCAGTCATATATAGTAACAATAATGAACCAACAAGGATATGATGAGGATATAATGAGCAACCATCATTAACCAATATATATATATATAATTCAGGTTCTTGTTACTACTGGATTGTTCATAAATGACCATATGGTATAGAGTTGATATAGTGTTGGTCACTACTATCATATACAGTAAACAATCATTAAGCAACAATAATATATCATGGGGATATAATGGCGACATTGTCAGTATAGTCAAGTTGGGATGAAGGGCATCCCACCTGGATGGGATTCCACAATGAACGGCTACAATTCATGATATTAGTCTATGTGGATTTTCTGGGATTTTCTGGTTAAACCATGGCGAAACTCCCATTCGTTCATGATCAGATATGGTCAAACTCAAGTTCTGCAAAGCGACTAACGTCGCTGTCAGGTGTCTCCGGCATCAGTTCGAAGGGAAGGGCCTACCGCGCTGTTGGAAGGAAGCGACCCCCCGGTGAGGAAGATGAGTAACAGAGTAGCCATCAAGAGTTGTTGGTAGCTCCGGAAAAGAAAAAACGTCACCTTGTCACTATGTAGTACAAGTATCTATTAGTAATTATGTAGGATTACTGTAAGATTCGACTTTTAGAAGATTTTTTGGGGCGGATGCTACAAGTAGATCCTGATTCATGGCCGGCCATGGGATGATCCACTCGCCGAGGACCTCAGCGTTCACCATGGGACCCGTCATGTCTTCGTTGCTGTTGATGCGATCCAGCAGCTCCTCCGCATCTAAACGATTTGGTTAAAAAAAAAACGAAATGGGAAGCTTCCAACCATAGTATATACCATATTATATTATATTACCATTATATTACCATTCATCAACCATTGTGATTGATCAACACCATCATGGGGTAATCTTCAACCTTGAGCTGCCCAGTCCTGAACAGACTCGGTAATGCGGACCAAGTCCAAGATAGTGCCATCCGGCCGGGACCAAATCACCTTCAAACAGGGAACTGTTTGGAGCCAACTTTCGGTTCTTTGGGTGTGACTGAAAATGCTGACTCTAATACATGTCTCTACTATTTGATGTCCATTTTGGGTATACTTTAGACTCACCCAAAATGGACATCAAATTGTATAGTAACTATAGTACAGAAATGCAGGGAAAATGATGCTAAGCCATCAACGTTTGAGTAACTTATGTTCAAACCCATTGAGTTCGATCCAACCCACCTTCCGTTGCGATGCCTTTTGGAAAGATATGGAGGTTTCCTAAAATGGGGGTACCCCAAAATGGATGGTTTATAATGGAAAAAACCTACTAAAATTGATGTGATTTGGGGGTACCCCCATTTTAGGAAAGAAACCCTCATATGTGCCCCAATTCATCAGTGAAAAGTCTCTTTGAGATCACTTACAATCTAAAACCACTGTTCAGTGTGAGTTGAGGCCCTGCTTTCCCATGCCGGGACTTGCGCCTCAATTTGTTTGTTGACTCCAAACTCTTCTGGGTTAGAGTCTATTTCTTGGTGGTGAAGTCAAATTTCTATCATCCCCATCATCTCCATATCACAATTTTCATTGCTTCAATTCCTAATTTCTCCACATTTTGACCACTGAAAAAGACCTATCCCCCAACCCGTCACATCCCCACGTGCGTTTGATCATCCGACGCATCGTAACAGATTGATAACCCTGAGTAGTTACTCCGTGATTTTGAGGTCCACAAAAAAATCGCTGGATTTTACACCGGAGCAGATTTTTCTAACCCACATCGTAGTTACTCCGCGATTTTTTTCCGGTCCACGAAAAAATCGCCCTGAAATTAAACACCCACGGTCATTTGGTAATTGTGGTAAAGCTAATAAACCATAATTTACCAGGACTGGTGGTGGTCTCCCACCCCGGTCCTGGTGCATGTTCATTTTGCAAGTTGGGCCCCCTAGATAGCTAAGTCGGTTTATACCTCTATATATAGATGAATGAATGGTAGATATATGACTTAGTTCATGGGGGTTATAAATCAACTGAAAACTGGGAGGCCCACCTTGTAGCTTTTCCCTAAAGATTTCAAAATCTTTAAATGGATCAAGATTTTCAGATCCTAATTTGGATTATGTGATTCCTAAAAACAGATTGATGTAAAATATGCCCTCCAACTAAATGGAAGTTTATATCTGGGCAAAACATGGAAAACCCATGGAATAATTCAATGGGGGATTTTTCAGCCACCCATGGAACTGAGGACCGAAAGGTTCACTCCATTAATAACAATGAATCACCAGTATTAATCATTATAAGCAATTATTCACCAATATTAACCATGGGTAACCATTAACATCATAATGATGATAAGCTCCATACATTCAAACACCATTAAACCATCATTAAAACAACATCAAACACCATTTCAATGTGGTTAGGTAAATTCTGAGTAGCTCCTTGGCTCCCCAAAAACGGAATACGGATACCCAAACCGCTCCCTTCACCGCTCCCTCCACGGTTTCCCACCTGTCCAGAACGGCAGTCCACCCAGTAGGGCACCAGCGCACCGCTGCCGTCGTCGCAGGCGCTCTGCAGCCAGCTGCTGCCCAAGGGCGAAGTCTGCCTGCACGGACATGCACTGGTTCATCCATATATCTCAAAAAAATGTGTTATAATATGGAAAAAATAATTTAGATTTGAACTGTTCAGATAATCCCTTCTTCTTATTACTAAACCTCCCCCAAATAAAAAAAACAGGATTGGTTTGGCACTTCTGGTTTTTTTGGTTGGGCACAATTGGATTTTTAATTGTGGAAATTGAGAATCAATAGGAGAACACGATGGTGAAACAATGGGTTCAACCCCCTATTAATAAAAATAGAATGCCACCTGGAGGTTCTTTATTAGGGACCCATCTCACAAATTTATTTTTTACTTGTATTATTGAGGTTTTCATTGGAATATTAGGGGAAAGTGTCGAAATCCAGTTTTTGGCAATATATTATATGGAGTTTAATAAGGGATTTGATCAAATTTGAAATTGGGTTGTTATTCATTAAGGTGTTTATTGGAATGTTAGGGGAAAACTTCGAAATCCAGTTTTTGGCAATATGTTTATAGACTTTAATCAGGGATTTGATCAAAATTGAAATCGAGTTTTTTTGTTATTAAGGTGTTCACTGGAAAATTAGGAAAAGCTTCGAAATCCAGTTTTTGGCAATATGTTATGTAGACTTTAATAAGGGATTTGATCAAAGTTGAAATCGAGTTTTATTATTAAGGTGTTCACTGGAAAATTAGGGGAAAACTTCGAAATCCAGTCTTTGGCAATATTTTATATTATATAGATTTTAATAAGGGATTTGATCAAATTTGAAATCTTAAGGTCTTCTTTGGAATATTAGGGGAAAACTTCAAAATCCAGTTTTTGGCAATATATTATATAGATTTTAATAAGGGATTTGATCAAATGTGAAAGCGATTTTTTTAATTATTAGGGTGTTCATTGGAATATTAGGGGAAGGTTTCAAAATCCAGTTTTTGGCAATATGTTCTATAGACTTTAATAAGGGATTTACTCAAGTTCGAAATCGATTTTTTCCCCAACAGCGTAAGCTAATGGGGCCTTCAGCCCAGAATAGCTCCGGTGTGCACTGGTGCAGGCGCCGGGTCAAGTTCAACGAGGTTTGAGAGAAGGTTCCAGAGGTTCCGGAGAAGGTCTGGGAGGCTTTGGTGCAGAGCCAGGTGAAGTTCAACAGGGTTCCGGAGAAAGTTCCGGATAAGGTTCCAGAGCCAGGTGAGGTTCAACAGGATTCCGGATGTTTTCGGAGAAGGTTCCGGAGAAGGTCTGGGAGGCTTTGGTGCAGAGCCAGGTGAGGTTCAAGAGGGTTCCGGAGAAGGTTCCGGGAGGCTTTGGTGCAGAGCTAGGTGAGGTTCAAGAGGGTTCCGGAGAAGGTTCCGGAGAAGGCCTGGGAGGCTTTGGTGCAGAGCCAGGTAAGGTTCAATACGGTTTCGGAGAAGGTTCCGGAGAAGGTCTGGGAGGCTTTGGTGCAGAGCCAACAGGGTTCCGGAGAAGGTTCCGGAGAAAGTTCCAGGAAACCTTGGTGCAAAGCCAAGTCAGGTTCAACGGGTTCCGGAGGTGCAGAGACAGGTTAGGTTCAACAGGGTTCCGGAGAAGGTTCCGGAGAAGGTCTGCGAGGCTTTGGTGCAGAGCCAGCTCAGGTTCAACAGGGTTCCGGAGAAGGTTCCGAGAAGTTTCCAGGAAGCCTTGGTGCAAAGCCAAGTCAGGTTCAACGGGATCCGGAGAAGGTTGCAGAGAAGGTCCCGGAGAAGGTTTTGGGAATCTTTGGGCCAGGTCAGGTTTAACCGGTTCAACAGAGTTTCCAGCGCTTGGCCTCGCAGCACGCTTCAGACAAAATTTGTAAAGATAAAACGCTGCAGCTGTTGGGGATACCACCGAAGCTTATTTATTTTTCTTATTAGGGTTTTCATTGGAATATTAGGGGCGCCCTAATACAGTAAAAGCTGTGTTTGGGTTGAATAAAATCCATGGTTTAGTGGTGGAGGTTAGCAGTTGGAGGAAATTGCAAAAATATAGATATAGAACGGGTTCAATCTACGACTATCTATGTCAAAATTTACTGTTTCTATCTTTCTTGGGAGTTGCTATATGCTGCTTTGCTCCCAAACTTGGATTGCATTTGGGTTTTGTTTGCTAATCTGATGCTGCAAAACTAAGATTATGTTGTTTTACTGGGGAAAGAGTGGAACTATGTTACAACCACCATGTTGGCCATTTTTTTTGTGCCCCTTTGACCATTCATTATTGACCATAAAGAATGTGAGGTTTCAACAATCAAATGATTCTCGCAGGTCAACGAAAATACATCCGATGGACTGGAGTCGCCTGTTTTTGTCAGCTTGTTGCATGGAAAATCCATGGTGATATGATACCTTCAAAAACATGAAACAAATCCCCAACACTGGAATTTAAGCAATCAAGATTGGTGTTTCAGTATTTAAGTTCAATGACATACCAGGGACCCTTGAGATCTGGTCCTTTGGGATCCAATTCAGCATGGAAGGCCCCAAAATTCAATATTTGATGATGTTCAGTGTTGGCAATTTGCCAAAAATCATCATAAATTGGGACACGTCTCAATTATTCTGATGATGAATATATGTATATTGATCATTCCTTAACCATTTAGATCCAAGGGTTTTTTCTGGCTAAATCCATCTGTTCGTCGCAAAATCCCCCATTTTTGAGGTTGAAAAAACCACTTCCGCCATCAGCGCAGAGAAACACCTGCTCCATCCCTCAGAGGTCTGTCGGCTCCATGGCATGGACAGCTGAGTCTGTAGGTCCTGAGTTATGGGCTTACCCCAAATCATCCAAGTCATTGTGGATGACCAGTTTAGTATTGAAACCGGTGACCAACTTGGGTCATCCCCATTTTAGGAAAGCTGAGCTGATTCCGACTTAACATGGATAGCAGACAAACGTAGGCTGGGATTTGGGATAGGACATATAAATGTAGATAGATAGATATATATATATATTAATAGTCATTATTATATATATATAATATAGTTATATATCATATAATTATATGTATGTAATATAAATATATATAATATTATATAATATAATTATATATAATGTATTATATATAATGTAATTATATATAATTTAATTATATATAATATAATTATATATAACTATATGTATATATATAACTCTATATATATATATAACTCTGTGGATATATAACTCTATATAGATATAACTCTATATAGATATAACTATATATATACATATAATAATATATTATTATATATTTCCTATAGATGCCTCCAAAAAATGGAGTAAATTTGGTATATAAATCTTAAAATCACCAACAAATCAAGGGGATGATCCCAACTGATTGTTGCCATATCGCCTTCAACTCTTCGTCCAACACTGTCTTCATGTGATCGACACTCACCTTGTCCTGGCGATGCCATGGCGATGCCATGGGTCCCTCAGTTGAAACCCTCCCAACTTTGAATAGAAACCGAAGCTTTGGTAGAGTATCCAAATAGAAACCGTCTCCACACTGGAGGCTCTAGATTTCTTGATCCCAACTTGATGAGAAACCACTTTTTGTTGTACAGTATCCCGTTTGAACGGGTGCGAGTGAAACATGGCGATCCTCCAAAACTTTACACTTACCGGGGGCGGCTTCGAGTATCTTAGACAAATTGGCGGCGGAACATGCCAAATTCAAAAGTCAGCCTTGAGCTAGTTCAAAGCTACCCTTTGTTTGTTGCTTAGTTTACTTAGTTTGTTGCTTTTCCTACAGTAATCATCAGTAATCCATCATCAATTGCGAGGGTCTCGTCACAGAATCTTTACCTGCTGGTGAGACGGTTGTTTCCGAGAGATTGTGGCCAATAATAATTCCATAATATAATACCCCAAGAGCTAAGGGAATGAACAAATGATGTATTCTGATAGAGTATTTCGACATATTCTGAAAAAATACAATATTGAAAGACAGTAGTACATGTTCAGATCTTGTGCATTTCAGTTGTTTAAAAGAAAAAATAAAACTGGTCACGACACTTCTTACAGATTAATCAACAAACACCTGGCTTTACCTCTGGACAACTGTTGGTTTTTCTAGCTGCCATAGCACCTCGAATTCAGGTCCACTGAAAATTACGTCTTAAAAATCTTAAAATATGCAGCACTAGCAATAATAATAACAAGCACAAGCACAAGCACACCCACAATCCCAACCCCAAGTTCCCACCCCAAGTTCCAACCATTCCAACCAAACCGTCGCTATGTTAACTTACCAGAGGCTATAGAAGTTGGTGAATCGCCCATGTTGGCGAGACCTCCATTGATGGTGCAATCACTATTCTTTTCACCCCAAGTTTCCATGATGTGTCCATCATGTTTCCATCACTATAACCAAGTTGTTCACATACTTCCGTGTTTCCTCATGTCTTCATCATGTTATCATTTTTTCCATCATGTTTTCCCATGTTTCCATCAATTGCTCCCAACTTTTCCAGCCTTTCTCCTAATTGTTCCATCCTTTTCCATAACTGGCCGACCTCTTGGATGTGCATCCCACTTTAGTTATATGGGTTATACCCAAATTATATGTTACCAACTAGAAAACAGTATATCAACCATAATTTATCAAATCATTATACAGTAGTAATTCATAATATATCAACATATATTTTCCATATGATTGATAATTAAACCAGGTTAAACCCCATGAATGGCTCCCCACCACGATCTCCAACGGCCTCGGGCGCGAAGTGCTTGGCCGCCTCAGGGCGACTTAGCTTCGTGAGAGCCCGCGATAGACGTTTGGCCTGGCGGCGCGGCGCCTGGTTTCCCAGTTTCCGGCGCTGGGAGAACAAAAAATGTGAATGGAAATTCAGTCCTGAATTCACAAGAATAGGGATATAAGTGGGATATAATGGGATAAATGAAGCTGCAATAATACGTGTATATATATATATCCGCCTTACGAGGATAATGGTGATATTTCATGGGAAGGAAAAAAACAGTTTGTGGTGCCCAATTTGGAATTGTCAAGTTGGTATAACTCAAGTTTCACTGACGGGATAGTTAGGTGTAGTATTCATACGGCCAGCACTTGTGCTATGCCCCAACGTCTTTCCGGATGATTGTCGGGAAACTCATTTCTGGTGACCTTTACAGTACTTTGTGGCCTTCCACTATGTTGGGATGTTGAATCTAGCCGCGTGAAGTGGTGTAGATTGGGAAGTTGCTAAAGCAAAGGAAACACGAAATCAAAAGGAAATGCAAGTGAATCCCATGGCGAAACTTTTCCGCGATAGCACGACCCGTATTGGTTTGAACTCAAAGGGCGCCCCTGCAATGGCGCACATGTATTTGCTGTGACGAGGATATCACTTCACCATCATGAAAGCTGGCTCGCAAGACAGACATGGTGACCTCTGCCACGGATAGCAAATGGTATGCTGAAGATCAGACATGTCACTATGGTGGACCTGACAAAGATCCATGAAACACCAATAGAACCCCTCTCCACATAGTGGCATGTTTGCTAGCCAAAATGGGAAAGGACCTCAACTTATCTTTGATAAGGAGATTGGTCACCGGTGAGCATAGCTGTCCATGCATCATCGTACCAGTCTTCAGGTACACTGCATAAATGCAAATTTTGATTCTTCTCCTCTTTGGTTTTCTGAGTCCTAAGTCTTTGTGCCTTTCTTGCTGATACAAATTCTGAGTTGAATCTAACTACCCAGCTCTTTCGAGTGTTGAACAGTCGCATCTCACGGTAAGCCTCATTCGAAGCTTTGGTCAAAGAATTTGCTAAATTCAGGTCGGAAGGCACCCAGGTGAGATAGGAATTCGTTCCATCTTGAGTTCCATGTTGAACATGTAATAGATCAATTCCAGAACGTGAATCTCCCATAGACATAGCCAGTGATTCATTGCTCGCCAGTAAATCAAAACAGCCTCTAGAATCCATAATCACCAAGCTAATAAACAGTGAAGTAAGTTTGTCAGCTTGCCCACGTTTCAGTTCGTGACCATAGAGAATGGCAAAGAAAAGTCGTGCTCGCCATCCCTTGTCTTCTGCTTCAGAAATTCCTTGTGATTCGCTACTGTTTGTTCCTCTCGCAGGTCGCTTCAATTTCCAGCTTCTCCAATCAATCAAAGAAACTAAACTCTCTTGGCCAGTGAGAATATGTGGAGTAGAAATTCCTGAAATGAAACCACCTGTAGATCCGCCCGTGGGCCTATTGTTATGACCAGCATCTCCCCAGTGTGCAAGAACTAAATCGAAGTATTCCAGTTTCTTTTCACGGCCAAAATTGAAATTGTGAAAAACGAGGTCTTCTTTTGCAGTTCTACGCATCTCTCTCATGATTGCATTCGCTTCGCGCAAGTTGGATAGTTTGTTGTTGGACATAGTGGATGCAGCCATGCCAACCCGTGCTGCAAATTGTGGAGCCGTTTGGATAGCCCGCCATTGGGCTTTCATGATCAAAGCTCTGCACTGAGAAGTTTCAGCAGCTGTCATAGGGTCATCTTCGCTTCTAGAACCATCATTTTGAATCTCCACGGGCCGAAGCGCATTACAGAATTCCTCTTGCCCCACATGGATAGTATATGAAGCCAATTGTCGCAAGTGACATCCAGCGTAGATAAAATCGCCACTTTGCCAAGGACTCCATTGGTAAAGGGCTTTTATTTGTTCTCTTATCTTTTCCAGTGAGGGCTACTATGATCTCCTCCTATAAGAAAATCATCAACTTGACTTCCCATTCTGCCGCAAATTTTCCCTTTGGGATCTTTAAAAATCCATATGCATCTATCCATGGGATGGGGAATAGCTCCTAAAGATTGTAACTTACAATCAACATCTTTCCAAAAGATCCGAGGCGCATTCGTCAGACCGTAGATGGCGCCAAGCACGCGCAATAGTGCCCCTGGTTGAACGTTATGAGCCCTTGCTAATTCTGGAACTGCCGTGGTCCAGATTCGACGGGGTTCTTCGCGATTATCAGCTTGGAGGAAGGCAGATTTCGCGTCAGCAGACTCCAAACGATGTTCATCAAAAGCAAAACATTGGAGTAACAAATTGCGGCCAATTCTGCTAATAGTAGGTGCTGCAGTTCTAAGCTCAGACTGTCCAGTGATAGGATGTCGTTTGATCAGATCTGGGTGTCTAAAACCTAATAAAACAACTCTTGCTTTTGCTTTCTTTGAGCCATCTTTTACCAATGTAGTAGGTTTACCACGTTCTGGGGGCTCTGGAGGAATAACAGGTTTCCAAGTGAGAACCCAGCGCATTGGTAGATGTCTCTCAGGATGTGAAATTGCATCTTGTCTTTCCTCTTCTGTTTGAATTGCTCGCAAAGCCAAAGAGCCCAAAACTTCTGCTACTTCTTTTGCTTTCGCTTCATCAAAAAGAGGAATATCTTCTGGAGTCAATTGTCGATACGAAACTTCAGTGTTTTTGGATTCCAAAATGCGTTTCACATACATGAACGGATTTCCCGATGTGACAATGTCATCAGTGATATCAAACTCAATCTGGTAAACCCATTGTCGGTCCTCCTGTCTCTTCTTGAAGTCGCTATGCACAAACGCCAGCAGGTGTTGTTCGTCTTGGCGTTCTTGTTCAATCTGTTTTCGGATTTGCTGTGTCTCATGCTGGTATTGAATCTCTGCTTCAATTTGCTTGATCTTTTCCAAAACCAGTATTTGTGTATCTAGATCTAAATGTAGAATATTTTCACAAACTTTCTCTGCTGAAATAACTCCTGGTGAAAAAACTGTTGAAACTGGATCTTGTTCGTCAAGGTGAAAAACTTCCGGTCGATTGGCGTGTGCTGGTAATTGCATCAAAGGTGGGAGTCCCTCTCTTCTACGGTTTTCATTTACTGAAACCAATCGATTCCACTTGGTTCTCAGAGATGCCACTGTATCTCCACGGTCGCGACTTCGCTCGCGCTCTCGATCTTGATATTCAGGATCATCAGGCTTGATTGGTTCCTTGGCCACATTAACAAATGATTTCAACTGATTGAGAAGATCTGTACGTGGTCGTGACAAAATTTCTCCAGATCGTAAAACTTCAACCAATGTTTCCTGTTCGGTTGCTGGTCTAAGCTGTTCCCTTGCGCATCGGTAAAGAGTTGTACCACATAACACCCAAATAATAGCTTCACGTCTATCTTCCAAAACTGTAGGTTCAATCAAAACTATACGTCCAGGTCCAAAGAAACGTGCTTCCGGATTATAGTTTGATGTCTTCTTCCTCGCTTTCAATGTCATTGTCCGCCAAATGCAAACAAAATCACCTACCTTGTAGTCTACATGAGCTCGAGGTGCAGAATTCCAAAGTCTGGTGACTGACTCGCGCGCTGATTCTTGCCTAAACAGTTCTGTTGCACGCTGTCTCATTCGTTGAAATTCTTGGAAATATTTCGGTGCAAAGGCCTTCTCCGCATTTGCTTGTAATGGATCATTTGCTCTTTCCAACTCATCAGGATCATAACCATATGCCCATTGAACCGGCGAAAAACCCGTAGAACGAACAGTATGGTTGTTTGCAAATACAGCTAATGATGCGTTCAGAGATGGAGAAAGAAGTGGGTGTTCATGACGAATACGGCGCATAGTTCTTTTCAACGTCTTTACCATACCCTCTGTCTTTCCATGAATCCAATGACCTTCCCCCGGAGCTGCTAGTAACCCAATACCTGTGGTATGAAGAAACAAAGGAAAATCACCTTTTGTAAGACTTGTTTGCGAATCTACCACAACCCACTCTGGACGAGGCCTGTGCGCTAACCAGGTATGGCAAAACGCATCCACCAATTTTGCTCCAGCATCTGTACCTGTGGCTGACATGCTTGTGGTTTCCAGAGGTGAAACTGCCACAAAGTTCATCGTCAAACATGTCATCAACAGGAACCGAGTTTTGACTTGTTGTTCTGGAAAAGGTAGTTCAAATACATCCATGCCCACTAACTGCCATGGTCGAGGATGTTCACCAATAGATCGGTGTAAAATCATTTGGTTCCCGGGTTGTGTTGCAACACAGTGTGGACATTGAAGACGTAAAGCTTCATCAACCAACCAGCTTGGTAATTTTCGGTCTCGAATCAAACGTGCTAAGCTTCGATTTGATGGATGACCAGCTGAACGATGAAGTCGATGCAAAATTGCCCTACCTTTTTCGCGTTCCTCAGTTGGAATATCAAACATAATTGGTGATTTTCTCTCTGAACAGATATGCTCTTCATCATCCTCCATAGTAGTATCAGTTGTCTTCATCTCACTGTGGGTTCTCTTTTGTTGGACTGGAAGAAATGTCTCCAAGGTTCTGAGGTCACGGTCAGCTTCGTCGGGCTTCAAATCCTGCACTGTCTCAAAAGTGTGCAGTGATTGTAGGACTTGCGGTTGTCCCTGCGAATACGCTTCCTTTTTCCAAACTTGAACAATACGTTGTGCCAATTTTCGTGGATAAAAACCTGCTGAAGCCACTGCTTTGGTACCCATGCCTAAAACCTGTCGATGGCAGTGTGACCCATCACACAAAACTGCTCCATGTACATGGAAATGTTGATCTGTGGTCATGATAGTCCATGGTTTGTGAATAGGGACTGAATGTTCATCGGTCAATCCAACCATGCACTCGTCAATCCGTGTGAAATACAGCGGCCTCTGCAATGTTTGTATACACCAACTTTCAAACTCCTTCAGCTCTTGTAGAGACCAACCGTCTTTTGCTCCCGAAGGCCACTCGAAGTAAATATCAGCACTTGGATCGCTCAACAACGCTGCCCTGAAAATTTGTAAA